TGAAGAAGGTCGTCGAATTTCTGTCCAGCAACAGGACTTATTTAGCTACTGCGATGTCCAAGAAAAATCCAGTGTAAATTTGACCCTCCGGCTTGCCCACGTTGAAGCGGTGGTTGGAGTTGCAAGAACGCATCTCCGTCGCAATATTGGCGAGGCTATTGTGACATTTGAGGAGCTTGCCACTGTATTCTGAAAAATTGAGGCGGTACTCAACTCAACTCGGTAATATACGTAACAACGAGGTTTTTGAGTTTTGATTGATAATTTTACTTCGATTGCTATTAATTTGCGTCTACGAGTGGCTTGTGTAGTTAATTAAAGTTAAAATAAATTAGTTAAAGTGTACGAAGGAATTCTTTCGGGTTAAACTTTGTGATCGGAATCGCGTTAAAGATTATAGTTTGTGCAAGTAACGTGATAGCGGGAGCGCCTTGGGGAGCGTGGCGACACATGCGGTTCTACTATCTGATTACCTCGGTGACGTCAGGTTATATTACACACTTTCCTAACCCACACAAACATACCATTTACTTACCCCTGACAGTGCCTTGTGGTCGACACCACGTCCAGAGCTCGGTAAGTTTGTGTTTGATTATAGCAGCCGTTATAAATTAATTACCATAGGCCATTTGGGCCCTCCCCTCTGTTGCTCGTCGAGTTGGACTACTGATAGGCCCTAGTCCGGTCGACTTTTGTCGCGGTAACTGAGGGCCGTAACAGATACTAATAATTAATCACACTGATTTACTTTATTTCGCTCCGAAGCTTCACTTTTATTGCCAAATTCAATACTAGATGGCGCTGTTGGTGGAAAGTTCAAGATTGACATTTTCCAGGAAGCCCTCCTCACTCTGATCCCCGACACTAGATGGCACTAGTGCCAGGTACCAGACGTCAACTTAGGCGCGCAACACTGCTCCCTCCTAAGACATTCTCGTCCCGAGCATTATCGGCCCCATAATAACGCGTCAGGCGATCCACGTGGACGATCTTAGGAGTCCCTCTTGCGCTTTTTTCTGTTTCCGGTAGGTTACATTGTTGACCCTGGTCACATGCAGCAATGGGCAGTCCCATTTAGCTTGAAGCTTAGGAGCTTTCCCTTTGCTGCGGACTGAATTGTGCAACCACACCAGTGAAACTTCGTCGAACCATTTGTTAAGTTTTCGTATGGACCGGTTTTTCACCACCGGTTGTACCGGGTTTTCATCTTTTCGGACATTTGCTGGCCCGATTGTCTGACGTGCTCATAAATGTCATTCATTTTGTTCCACGTGGGGCATCAGGTGGTAACCAGGTGATCGGGTGTGCAGGCAGCCGTAATTCTCTTCCAAAGTTTGCAAAAGCTGGTGTCACTGATGTACTTTCGTGAACAACGCTTCGATATGACAACAAAAACGGTTGTATGTGCTTGTCCCAATCTCGTTGCCGATTGTCTACATAACTCTCCAATGTCTGATTAATTCGTTCTACCATTCTATCAGATTGCGGGTGATAATAAGTCGTTCTTATTTTATGAGTACCCATAACTCGGCAAGTTTCCTGGAATATTTAAGGCTCAAAATTCCTTCCTTGATCGCTGTGAATCTCTAAAGGTACTCCAAAACGACAGAAGACTTCATGAACTAGTTTATCTGCAACTGTTGAAGCTTCATGATTTGGAATGGCGAAGACTTCTGGCCACTTAGTGAAGTAATCCATCACAACTATGAAATACTTGTTACCGCTTTCACTCTCCGGAAACCGTCCCGCCACGTCAATGGCTATTCTCTCCCATGGTGCAACAACATTGTACAACTTCAATACACCTCTACTACGAGTCTGAGGTCCCTTTACAGCCGCACAACTTATACATTTGCGACACCAGTCCTCGACATAGTTTCGACATTGGACCCAGTAAAACCGTTCCCGGATCTTTAGTAGAGTTCGTTTAATTCCCAGATGGCCTCCTGAAGAATCATCACGGTACAGCTTTAGAACATCCGGTACTTTAGCTTTAGGGGCAACCATTTACAAATGACAGCTGTCTCCCCGAACATTTTCCCATTTACGGCACAGAACTCCATCCTGAAGCAGCAATCTGTCCCATTGGGCCCAATAGCTTTTAGTGGTTGAAGTCATCGCTGAGACATCGCTCCACTTGGGCTTGGGAGCACTGGCCTTCATCCATTCCAGAATCGGCTTGATGTCCGGATCTTCCTGCTGTGCATGTTGTAAGCTGTTCCTCCACTCGTTGCTGAGGTGGTCTGTCCTGAGCATCCTTACAGATACCACTTCCTTACTCTCTTGTCTGGTACAATGTTTGCAATCTTTCTGTTAAGGTCTTCTTGACAGTGCATCTGCGTGGCCATGAGATTTCCCACTGCGATGTTCGATCTCAAAGTCGTATTCCTGCAGTAGTTCAATCCACCTCGCAACTTGTCCTTCTGGATTTTTAAACTGCAATAGCCATTTTAGTGCAGCATGGTCAGTTCGTAAGTGAAATTTCCACTCCAGAAGATATTTGCTAAAATGCTGCAACTACTTGCTGAACGACAAAACCAGAAAGGAACTATTGTGATACAATAGTTCCTTTCCGGTTTTGACAACGACTTGCTGAAGTACCCTATCACAACCTCTCGATCACGGTCCGTTGAGGCAACACACCGCCGAGTCCTGTAATACTTGCGTCTATGTCAACTATAAATTCCTTGCCCGCATCAAGGTACCCTAATATAGGTGTTTTGCAAAGACGGTCCTTGAGCTCCTGGAATGCGATATCGCAACTTTCCTCCCAGCAGAAATGTCGCTTTTCCCCGGTTAGCTTGTGCAGGGGTTTGGCTATATCTGCAAAGTTCTACACAAATCGCCGGTAATAGGAGCACAAACCCAAAAATGCTCTAACCTGTGTCTTTTCTTTTGGAACCGACCAATCCTTGACAGCGGCGATTTTCTCTGGATCCATGCGGATACGTTCTTCTGATACTACATATCCCAAAAAGTTAAGTTGCCGTTTAAATAGTGAACATTTCTTCGGACTCAACTTGAGGTTGGCACTCTGAATCTTCATGAGCACGCGTTCCAGGTTTTGAAGGTGTTCCTCAAACGTATGGCCTACGATGATGATGTCATCCAAGTAGACCAACCCACGTAGCGAAGGTGCTACTACGGGAGCTGTAATTCCATCCCCCAGTTTGAGGTCGTCTAGCGTTTTCTTCACGTCAGCCATCACTTTGTCAACCCCATTGTTCACTTGGTCGATTTGGGTTTTAGCTTCCTTGATTTAGGTTTCAGCTTCCGACAGGCGGTTGTCATGTTGAGCAACCCCATCTTTCACTTCCCTTATCTCGCTCTCGAAGTAAGCGTGAATGTCCTTCACGAGGAGCATCTGATCTTCCTGTTGGCGGGCCTGTTCCTCTTGCTGCTCTTTCAACCAATGGGCCTGTCACGTGCATCGGCCTGTTCCTGTTGTCGCCACGCAACTTCTCTTCCAAACGACGAACCTGTTCCTCTTATCGGCGTGCCTGTTCCGCCTGCTGGCGGGCCTGTTCCTCATGTCGGCGGAACTGTAGCTCATGCTGCTCTTTCAACCAACGGGCCTGTTACTTCTGTCGGCAAGCCTGTTCCTCCTGTCGGCGAGTCTGTTCCTGCAACAGCATCATGAGAACACCTAATTCAGGTGCTGCAGGTGTAGGAGCTGCTGACGGGCCAGCCTCCGTTGCTGGCAGTTGGCCCCCCGACGTCTGCAGCGTTGCACCACCAAATCTCCTCTGGTCCGTCTTCTGCTGGCGTTGACTTCGGGTACGGACACCCTCCATTTCGTCCTTAGGTAAAATCGGCATGATTTTATCCCACTTCTGACACCAATTGTTACGAGCTTGAGGTTCGTGACAATAAAAACTGCCGATTGAATTACCAAAATTAACACTTTAATTACCGAACGCCAATGAAAACTTAAGACACTAATAATTAATCACACTGATTTACTTTATTTCGCTCCGAAGCTTCACTTGTATCGCCAAATTCAATACTAGATGGCGCTGTTGATGGAAAGTTCAAGATTGACATTTTCTAGGAAGCCCTCCTCGCTCTGGTCCCTGACACTAGATGGCGCTAGTGCCAGGTACCAGACGTCAACTTAGGCGGCCAACAACATTATCCCCTGGTTGTCGTAATAGACGATAGAGGAAAATGAAATGAAAGACAACTTCCAGCATCTTACTATAATAAATCGAAATATCAAAAAGACTGCTATTTCTAAACCACCTATCAAGTGTGGGTAATTGAGAGGCCTATGTTTAGCAGTAGACTTTTGATAGGCTGTAAACTGTAACTTTATTAACTTATACAATTATTTATACATTTAACGTGATACTTTTCATATATATTCTTGCACGTCAAACGCTACTGACATTTGTAATAAACGCATGGACTCCTTCAACTCACTTCAAACAAGCAAAGACTAGAAGTTCAAGTCAAATTGAAGAAACCCTGTTACGGGCACGCAACGAGTTGGAACGTTTGGCTTGTATGACTAACATTTTTTTGCTTTGCTGATTGCTATAAATTTTCGCCGGGTCAAAGGACCAGTTAAGGTAGACAAGTCTTATGACTAATGGATACCGAAAATTCATGCAAAATGCGAATAACAAATTCACAGATTGACGAAATTGGATAGCAATATCAAGTGGAGGTTCAACTTATGAATTTATGCCTCACACTCCATCAAACACTATCCATCAATATTTTTTTTTGTCGAATAAGATCAGTATCATTGCGACCTGTAAGATCTATTGTGATCGCTGCTATGTCTATAGTTCACGGTTAAGCCTTATTATATCTTTAATGAATTGAAGGAGTTGCTTAGCTGTGAGCAATTTCACTCTTTCTGAGCTAAATAGTTTTTTTTCCGTTAAAGAACAGGCACATCCAAGAGTTGCTTAGTCCAAATATGGTTCCACTACCTTCGCCTAAGATGATGACAGCCTGTAAATATGAATAGTTTATTAATATTTGTCTCTACCCTACCTTATTAGGGCACGATGCCTCGATATAACTTCAACTAGCTTCTTTTGATAAAATATTTCCCATTCATTTTCACTAACAGATTCCATATTTTCTTCACATATTTTATTGCATTTACCTTAAAAGTAAATAATTTAGTGTTAATTATTTAAAATGAAACTTATATCCTATAGTATAGTTTACTTAGTTTTATCTCAAGAGGTGTTTTTTTTTTTGTATGTGATACGGACTGACTTCCAAAGTAATACGAGTACAATTAATGATTTCTTATATTTATGCGAACACTACACATGATTAAATCTCCACAAGGCGAGATCCCTTAAGAAGGAGCCTGTTGTTTTTTGAAGAAGGTAAGATTTTTTTTTTAAAGTTGTTTTCTGCACTAAATGAATTCGAACCAAAAAAAACAAAAAAACGGAATTTGAGAGACACCTCCCCTTCAAAAAAAAAAAAAACAAAACCCCACCACACAAAAAACACAACAAAAAAAAAAAAACAAAAACACACCAAGGCCAAAATCATGAGTAAAATTAAAACAAAATCTATAAAATCTTAATATTATTAGACTTTACGAATTCAAACCCTGATACTTATTATCAAAATATCTAAAACTATCAAACAAAAGCAAAAACTGTTGTTTGAGTTAACACCATATTAATTGAACAACCTAATCCATCTTTACAGGATTTTTTTAAGAAATTTATGAGGATAAAGCTAGAGCTAGCTGTTTCGTAATGAAAATTGTTGAATCTAAATTTTTCTTTACTAAGCGTATTATTTCGCTATTGGATATGGTGATTTTATCACAATTATCACGCCTTTATTTCAAAACTACTCCCTCTCATAAATCTGCTTTTTAGTAACTTTTAACACACATTTGTCAGCTACTATGTTTGTATGTTTGTGTATTTTTATTTATATATGTATGTATGTATTATATGTACTTATGAATAAATCAATGAATGAATGTAATGGATTTTATTTTTAATTTATTTTTCACTTAGTTTCGGACGTACGTACAATCAAAAGTATTACAGGTGTAGTTAGAATAAGACAACAATTAGCAATGCAACAATTTCATGAATATGGAGTGTTGTTTTAGTTTTTTTCATTTCTAATTTTATCTATAAACGGTATTGATTTATTTGTGTTTTGCAATATTGTGTATAAGAGCCGTAGTACCTCAGGTGCTTAGCGCTAGGTGTAAATTTTATAGTATGTAAGCAACCTTTGTTCGATCCCAGGCGGTGCTAATGAAATTATTTATTTTAATTTAAGTGCTCACTTACCACGTGCCCGGCGGTGAAGAAAAACATCATAAAGAAACACAGTAAGATTTCGCTTTGGGGCAGCGCGGCGGACATATTCTTACCTTAAAAGCCTCACGGGATTGAGAGGAGGCCTAAACCCAGCATTGGGATATATGCCCAGCATAAGCCCAGGACGCATTGGGGCGTATGACCTATGCCCAGCGTGGGTTGCAATATTACTTTCTCGATTGCAATTTACTAAGATGTGAGACTCATTCTTACTTCTGTCGCGGAGTCCGTCTGAAAAGGTGGTACCTTTTTCTCCTTGTCTTTTTGCCAGTGCTCAGACTGCTGTGTTCTGCAGAGTACAGAGAGCCGGCATAATTACAGGCTAGGAATCACTCCATCTTAGTCCTCAGAGGTGACAACGCATCTGTGGCATTATTTACGTTAGTTTGATGTTAGTTACAAATGTCAATGGACTGTACTAGCCACATACCATCAGGTAGACTGTAAGTTTGTTACTTCAGTTTTTTTTTTAATCCAAAACTGATAAAATATACTACAAGTAACTGAAACTGAGAAAATTTGGTAATATTGTCGCTTACAAACAAGAAAAAGTCATGTATAGTGAAGTAGCGTAGATAAAAATTATGAAAACCAGGAAAATTTGTCGATTCATCGCACAATGTCTTACCGAGAGGATATTCTTGTATTAATTGATCGTCAATCGGTACGTGAAACATTTTTTTTATTCTAATCGCAAGAAGATGTAATTGTGAAGCAATATGACTCAAAAAGGTATAAAAGAACAAGTCCGCTGCCAACAGGATGCACATAGTGATAAAACCTGAAAAAAAAATTAATTTACTGGCAGAACTCTTTTTCAGCCTTTGAGCAAATCGGGACGGAGAGGGGATGGACTGTATTTATAGTCTAGCGGCTCTGGGCGTCAGAAAGCCATGCTAAGCCTTTTTTTACTGAACGCGACATTCCATCTTAGACCTCATGGGTGACAACGCAAATGCATTTTGATTTTTAATCGAGGATAAATGGTTTATTGACCACGGCATCCACTTATCGTCAGGTGGGCTATGTGTTTTCGTCTGTCATACTTATTCCATTAAAAAGCCACTGCCTAGCAGTCCGTCTGGGTAAGTACCACTTCTGCCAGATAGTAGTGCTTGAACTGCTGTATTCCGGTCTGTAGACTATTGAAAACTAGTATCATTCCAGGCTGTGAGGCGTTCCATACTATTTTTCAAGGGTAGCAAGGCATCAGTAGACTAAAAATGGCATTAGCCATCCATGGACACCTGCATCATACTTCAGACTCCTTTGCCACGTCAGTTTTATAATAAAAACGCTATTCAATTACAACTGTCGTGTAGTGGCAGTACCTTATGTCATACCTTGGCTGTCGTTAAAGACGACGGGGGGGAATTGAGATAGGAGATGAGTAGCAGTATTCTTCTGGTAACCAATTAATAATAAAAAAAAACTGTAGTTGCTATAGCTACAGCTATATTATGGTTGTAGCGTGAATGGATCTGCTCAAAAGACAGAATACCAGCGTAAATAGCAGCCTACTACTGCTGTGCTTAGTATGGTGAGCGTAAAGAACTGAAGTACCATTCCACTGGAAACGAGGCATTTCATCTTAGTTCTTAACGGTGACAACACTTTTGTATTGTTACTCTGATATACGATTCTTAATTGAAGATAGATATAGATTTCTATCGGCTACAGCATTAGCTTAACATCAGGTGCACTGTGTGTTCGTTTGTGATCATTAATCTATTAAAAAATACCAGAAACCCAAAAAACACACAAGAAAGTTATGGATAGCGGAGACAAATATTTAAACTAAATCATACTTATAATGTCCTCCGGACCGAATTAGAGTCACCACGACTCTAATTCGGTCCGGAGGACATTAGAACACACAGTAGTAGTACACAATGTAAAGAAATATTATCTATCTGCACAGGACAAAAGTATAGTGCCTAAGTGTATGGGTAAGCACAGGTGCACTCTCTATTCCTTCACCATCATACTCCGATGGAACGGCAATGCAACACGACCAGAGCGAAATCAGGATCAGTACCAACGGCTTTACTTGCTTTCCGAGGCATGTGGGTAAAACAACATCGACTTGCTGCTTTCGTGCTACTTCTGAAAATTTCTATAGAGAATAACTCAATATCCTGAACTCTTACAACACTCACAAGGCAATATATAGTAGTGAATATTCTTAAACCGTCACTTTACTGTTGCGTTTTTGATCTTATAGCCGCAAAATGAATAAAAAGATAAAAATATTTAAATTGAATCATACTATGCCAAATTTGAGTCATAAACAAAAATTCGAAAAGCCCTCGCTGGTGCGGATCAAATGGAAACCAGTAGGGAAATATCAGATTTTGAGGAATATTTTCTCCGAAAGCACGACGTATGCAGCTAATGATTGGTGGTACGTCGAAGAAAATGATTAGACCCGCATGACTGTAGTAGTACCCTGAAAGTTTAAAAACAAAATATGACTTTTTTCCTTGTTATCGAACAAATCAACAAATTATTCTAATAAAAGAGTTTTATTCGTTAATAAATTAAAAAAAAGTGTCAGTATTTAACACGATATTTTAAAATGTTTTATTTTACTGATTCCACCACTTATACCAGACTTTACATTTACACTATATTAGGGATGAGGGTTAATCTACTTCTAATTCTTACATTTATATTATAACAGTAGGATTAGATTAACACATATTCTGCTCTCTTGTCCGGCGAGTAGTTTGGAAAATGGTTCTGGGGCAGAGCGTAGGTCGTGTTGATCCCTAGGGCAAGTCTAAGGAGTTCTTCCTTCACGTGGTTACCTCATGTTATTTCGTTTAGTTCAATAGGAAACAGATAAGACAGAAATACTCAATCCATCCTCTTTTTCTTTTCTTTTTACCCCACCCCCTATTTCATATCCTTACCCAGTTCAAAATGTTAAGTATACCGTGACGATAGATGCGTGGCTCGTGGAGAGTCCAGTTGCAAACGGTGCCTACCCGAGACCAGGACAACTCGGGTCGTAATTTTGTAATTTCCTCGGCATGCGGGCCTCTGGCAACCGTTTTATTTCCCTATATAATCGTGAGAACAAAATGGACAGAATAGATCGACATTTTAAACTGAACTCTCCTTTAGTAGAACTCTCTATAGGTTTGGAAGAGGCTCTTTAAGCCACCCCAACACCCCGCAACACAATGTCCAGACATGGGACGAGTCGTAAAGTGGAAGACACGTCTGCAGCCGAAACACAATTGAAAATGAACCAGTTTAGGCACAGGAAAATGGTTTTCTTGGCCTTACAAGCATAGTGGAGCGGTACAGGAGGCAGCTGATACATGAGCCAAAGAGACCCTCTCTCTCTCTCTCTCTCTCTCTCTCTCTCTCTCTCTCTCTCTCTCTCCCTCTCTCTCTCTGTCTCTGCCAGAAGCCCTGAACCCAAACCTCGCCTCCTCCATATTAGAAGACGTATAAACGCAATCAGTCGAAGTAAGAGTATCCCAAACACCAGGCTAGGAAAGCTGTAAAGCTGGCAACTGGAGAAGAGAAGGTCGTATAATCACGGAGTGGGTGCGGCTGGTCCACCGGTTAGTAACACAGGCTATCGCTAAGACAGCACGTGGGGCGTAGCCAGGAGCGGTACCGAAATTTTCGGGTATCAGCTATAAGTCAGGTTGGATTCTGGTAAAAAAGTAAAGTTACAACCTATATACGTCCCATTACTAGGCACAGGTCTCCCATCATTTCTGAGAGGATATTAGGGCAAGGAAGTGTCCGCCGCGCTGCCACATTGCGTGTTGGCAAACTTCACACGTGTTCGAAATATTTTTTTTTCTTATTTCTCAGTCATGCAGGTTTCCTCACGATGTTTTCCTTCACCGCTGAGCACGTGGTAAATCGGCACTTAAAATTGTAATTAACAATTTCATTGGTGCCGGCGGGGATCAAATCCGGTTTGCTCGCATACTGTAATATTTACAGTGAGCGCTTACCATCTGAGCTACCACGGCTCACGTCCAATGTAATAGATGGTATGCCATCCGTCATCACCTGTCAAAAGCCATAATGTTTTATTGTATTTCCCATAGTCGCGTCTTACGATACCTACGGGTTGAAATAATATGATAGATTCTCTAAAGCTGCCACTGCAAAACAGATTTAGGATTCAATAGTGATTTGATAGGCTGCCTGTTTTAACCGATTTCAAAAAACGAAAATTTTCTATATAAGATGCGTATGTTATATATGTGTATGTTCACCGATCTATAGCAAACGGCTTAACCAATGACTTTAATGATTCTTTTCTTATTAAATTTACTAAACTACATGGGTTTTCCACATCCTTGCTAAACGCATAAAAAAGTAGGAGGCTAACTACTTAATTCAAATGAGTGGAATATTTGATATATATTACGTAATTTCCGTTACCTTTTCCGATGAGTTTTAATTCAGCAAATGCCGTGTGTATGACATCATATTCCTCTTCAGTATCAACATTTTGAGGCCACATCGCACGCAATTCAGACATCAAATTTTCATACACAGGTCTGCATTTAACAAACTTATAAGACTTTACCATCGCTGTAAAAAATATAACGCACATTTAAAATATAACTTGTATAAAACAATGGAATCAGATACCCATTGTTTTCATAAAAGGTAACACATTAATAACATTTAATAATCAGTAACTTACTTGGCAAGACAAGTTTTAATTAGTCAACTAATACCATCGAGTTTGCAATGAAATTATTTTCATATTACAATGATAAATAAATGAGGTTTAACCCGTTTGTTCAGATGGACAGACAAAATACCTTAACTTCGCAGAATCCAGCATTTGAAAAATACTGGTTGAGAACCTAGATGGAGTGAAGACTTTATGAAACACGCAGGTAGTCGATTAATGCAGGTTACTCAAGACTGTCATTGCGACAATCTATTGGGGAGTCCTATGCTCAGCAGTGGACTTGTTAGGTTTTTGTGGTAGTGATAGTGATAAGGTTAAAATCTTTTATTTTAATATTAGGGTCATGAAAAGGATTGACTATCTTATATTTTTCCTTTTGTCTTTTGAACAACTTAATAACACGATTTAAAAAAAACGTTGAAGATATGGTCATGATTAGCGTTGCCAGACTTCCGGTTAAAGCCGGGCACAGTCAGGCTTTTTGGTTGTGTGTCCGGCCAAATTAGATGTTGTCTGGCTTTCGTTACGCTTTTTAAATTTGACCATTTCTTTACATTTTGCATGTACCTACTTACGTACTATAGCAATTATTGAAATTAATATTGTTATGAATATTGAATGATTAATAATAAAGAAGACTGATTTATTCAATTGTTGTTAATTCATTACGATTTAAGAAGATTTTGCGGTAAATGATATAAAAACATTGTTATTTTACTATGACTAAAAAATTAAGGGTGTGTCCGGATTTTCGGTTTTAAGATCTGGCAACCCTAGTCCATAGCCCTAGTGATGAGGAAGGCAATCAATGCTTAGTGAGCTTGTTGGAAGGATAATTTTTTTTGCCTAGAAGACTGTGTGGGTGTGTTTTCTTACTCATTTCTGCCGCTAAATAGCAGTACTTGGAGAACTTTTCAGACCGGAAGTACAGTACAGGTGTTTCCGGTCTGAAAACTATAAACAGCCTGTTTCATTACAAGCTGAGAGGCTTTCCATCTTTTTCCTCAGAGATAAATACACATCTGTAACCTTATTTGCTTGAAATTGGCTGCAGTTGGACTACAGTAGCTTACCTAAGTGTCTGTGTGCTCGTTTGTCACCCTTCTATCTATAAAAAAAATGTAACACTTCTAAGGACATGATTTTTATATAATGTTCATAAAACTTAGTATGAAAATTTTGCGCTAGGTTTACTGTAGTTAAGTAACAGCATTTTATCCTGTGTTTAAAAAAAATTGTTTTACGCAGTAGGAAAATAATAAAAAAAAACATTAACATTAAACGAAAAACATTGTCAATGTAATTAGTTGTGTTTGATAGGTCGTCGTGATTCATGCATGCAATAAAATTAATATTAATAACATATTTTGCTATAAATAATCATCGCATGGCAATAAGTAACTTTTTCAATAACTACACAGTGACCAAAAAACACGTCTGAAATAAAAAGAAAAATTTAAAACTAATTGATCCTTTTGCGTCTTGTTTCAAACAACGTGCTTTGTTTTTATCTTGATTTGTATTCATATAGTTATATGCTCGTTTCTATAATTAAATAACTTTTCTTTCTCCTTAATGATACGTTTAATTGTCTAAATCGCACAATAGAACGGTGTTACTACAATCAATTGAGTACGAAATTTAAGACTAAAAACAAATGCATTTGTAATCTTAAATACGAAATTAAAGACTAGGTGACTCAACAAAGAACCAACCTCCAAAAAGCTAACTTTTAGTTATTTACAAAAATTTTGAAACTGATTTGTTTTAAATTTCGCTGTTTATCATTGCTCATATTGCTTATGCGATTTTTGCTTGAATTATTTTACTGTTTGAAAATATGGTATAATATATACGTAATAGCACCACGCTGCAGCTATATTCTGGCAAGCCAGGCATATCTTAACTTTTGATAGAATTCAACGTCGATATAACTCTATATTATATTCATATTTCAATTTTTTAAAAGTTAACACTATACTTTTTGTTTTTTATTACTAATTGAATAAATAAATTATATTTGCAGTATGAATGGCTTGGCTCGCCTGGGGTGGGACCACTCTTTCACCAGCATAAAATAGCAGCTTAATGCTGTTCTGTTTCGTATAGTGAGTGTGTGTTTGTGTGTACCGGAGACCCTTTTTACTGCAAACGAGGCATTCCATCTTAGTCTTCAGGGGTGACAACGCCTCTGTGTTTTGATGTTTATTCGAGGGTAAATGTCACTATGTCTGTGGGCCACAGCAATCCGATGAGATTGGATGATCTATCCTACACGGATGTCATTTCGTGTTATAAAGAGCTTATTTACACAGCCAACGTGCAATGGCAAGACCTAGTAATACAGAGCAATTCCAACCGGGAGACCGTGTGGAATGAGACCAAGCTCCACGTGAGTTTCTACAAGGTTCTACATCAGCCTTTCGTAGACACAGTTGCCACCTTTCACTGGCTACATTTTGGTGACCTCTTCGGGAAAACCAACGATTTCGTCTACGCAATAAAAGAATAGGTTATTGAGACCAACAACTATCGGAGATACATCCTGAGGGATGGCACTGTGGCAGTGGTGGGAAAAGGGGAGATCTCCCGCCGGGCAAGGTGTTCTGCCCAGGGAGCGGCCAACACTCCGTGTGATAGTTCGAAGATGTTCTATATATGCTGTTTATGATTCGGAATGTTAATAGCGCGATTTAAGCTTCGGTGTCTTTCGCTTGCGGCGCGACGACAGCGCCGCCACAGCATTGTCGACATCTGTCGAGCTTGTCGCCAACGCTCTCCGGTTGTTCTAGCCAGGATCCTACATCATTAAGGGTGGTGACACCCTTAAAAACGGTTTCGTAGATCGGAAACTTCCTTATTAGAAGTACTTGCCGGAGGCTGTGTTCGAAATTAACCAGGCCATCGCCACGGACAGGACCGTGGACCGGACTTATTAAGGATATTTTTGGTGGACATTACTATTCTGTATAACGAGAACGCCGAAACCGCGAAAACCAAAACAGATAAATATATCTGGACCTGGCTCAATAAGTGACTGACATGTGGTGTAGTATGCCGACTGAATTTATTCTTGTGGTCATCTCTGCGAACGGGCTTATCCCGGTCAGATTCTCGGGTTATCTGAGACGACTGAAACTTCGTGACGGACCGCTCCGGGCTCAAATGCAGAAGAAGATGCTTCTTGATACTGCCCGCATCGTTCATTTGTTTCCTTTCCTTTGCCCCTAACCCCCCGGCCGTTTGGTCTCCCCTGCTGAGAGCTTCCATCTGGTTGGGCTTTTATATATTTATGTAATATTTATTTATTTATTTCACTACAACTAATGTAAAACAATGTATAAATATAATTTTCTATTATATATCCATACATCAGACAAAAATACTATTTAAATACCCGAAAAGAGTAATTTGTTCATATTAGACCAAGTTATCCCTATTTGTTAACAATTTCATTCAATAAATCACAATCAAACCTAGTGTTAGTGTTTAAATTAAATTAATTTAAAATAAACAGACTAACTAAAGTCAGGTTCCGTTTTAAATAAAATCACAAACCAAATAACGCATATCCAATGCAGGGAGTCATTGTAAACAACTCTGTGAATGTGCCATCGGATGCAGTCAGCATCGTGGTGATGAGTTCTAGTAATAACGCCATGACTAAATTGGCAAACACAAACCAGTAGAAGGCATTCCATAAGAGTCTGTAAAATAAATAATAGATTAGTAACGTTTCGGTTCGTGGTAAGAGTAAAAAATAAAAAAGTAAGTATATCCACTAGCTCATATCATTTAGTGGGTGTCGTGAAAGGCGACAGAGGGAAACAAATCAGGAGATGGGCAGCCCAATAACGACTTACAATAAAAAACTGCAGTTGCCAATCCGTTAGCCATAGACATAGAAAGAGAAAGAAGGGCCGTTGGCGGTTCGCTATAACATGCTGTCCCGTAGCTTTGCAAGCTGTACTGTAAGAAGTATTTAAGATAACACTTTTCAAAGCCTTTAACCAGTCATTTTACACGTGCAGTCTATGGGTTACGTATACGCAGAGAGCCTACAATGCCCTTCGGGTACAAAATGATAATGCCTTCAGGACGCTGATGGGAATTCCAAGGTATTGTAGCGCTTCAGGGATGTTTACAGCGTACGGTACGGACTGTTTTCATGCCATAATTCATAAGAGAATAGCATTCCTCATGCGCAGGATTCGTGGGAGCTCCAACAGCATTCTGAGGGCAATATCTGAAAGATTTGATTGTCCCATCCAAGAGCACTGGATGCACTTGCATGTGCCTGGTGTCATGGGGTGCCGAAAAAAATTGTTATGAAAATTGTGCGTGTAATAATTTAAGACTATAATGATTTCTCATATTTACGCGAACACTACACATTTATTAAAACTACTTTTATGGATTTTATCGCGTTAAATTTAACACAAACCAATATTTAAATGGTGAATCTCACCACCATCCTTCACAGTTAGCTACCGTGGGCAAATCTTTGTTACAGAGAGCACGACGGATCTGTGACAGCAAACACCTGGCCGCCGAGCTTCAGCATGTCAAGCAAGTTCGGCACGACAACAAGCTTCGGGTCCCGCGCCTACGTCACAGTGACCGAGTGAAGCCGGCCACAGTCGAGCGTGTGCCTGCTGTACTACCATATGTCAAAGGTGTCACAGACAAGATTGGCTACATCTTGAAGCGAGCTTATATTAGAACATTCTACAAGCCGCCGAAGAAGATTAGTCAGTACCTACCATCCGTCAAGTGTCATATTCCTCTACAAAATGCAGGTGTACAAGCTTGATTGTGAATGTGGTCTCTCTTATATAGGACAAACAATAAGATCAATTAGAACCCGCGTAAAAGAACATATAGCTGATGTGAATCATCAACGTTCCGGGAAGTCTGCAGTATGTGATTATATCCTAGGTGGCCCCAACCATTACATCAGATTTGATAGACCACAAATCCTCGCGAAAGAACACCGATTCCTACCAAGGATGATACGTGAGGCTATTAAAATTAAAAAACATCCTAATTTCAAAAGAGAAGGAGGCTGGGTACTACCACCTGCTTGGGACCCTATAATCAATAAAATTAAAACTAAACCCAAGCATACCACTGCAAGACCTCAAGACATAGTCAGTTCATTTTGCATAGATCGGACCATAAAATAATTAAAAAAGCTGAAGTTACTCCGGGTTTAACAATGACATCGGGACGTCAGTCACCTCATTCCCCGGTGACCATGGGTGCTGGAAAGCACCCGAAACGTCGGGAATTAAAAATAAAAATAATTCAAATTCAAATTAAACGCGATAAAATCCGTAAAAGTAGTTTTAATCAACTAACATAGGTTAAGCTAATTTACTAACACAATATTACTACAATTAAATACTAACATAGGTTAAGCTAATTTATGGACTATATGTGGGTCTGAAATAAATTAAATTATTAATTATTATTATTATTTACGGTAAGTGTTTTCACTTCTCAGCTCTAGGCTGTATTTCAACTACATTTACGGGCAGAAGCCAAAGCAAATGCAGCGTGTGGTGTGTAGTGTAGTTCATGTGATTTGTTGAGGTCCTATTTCGTTTTCTTCTATCTGCATGAATTTCCTAACTATTCTGCATGTATTTAATATAGCTGCTTTTTGAAGTGTAATATATAGAGTTTCTTTTAGTTGTAATAATTTTAAGCTACGGAGGAGATGATTTGGGATGACACCTGTTGTGGAGAGGACTATAGGGACCACATATACTTTTTCTTGTTGCCAGATTCTAGTCACTTCATCTTTAAGTTCTGCGTACTTACAAATTTTTTCAGTTATCGTCTTCTGCAAGTTGTGTGTGTTGGGGATTATTATTATTATTAATGTGGGGTATCTATATAGTTTTCTCATCTGGTTGGGTTCTATAAATATATAATTATAAATGAAAATGAAAAGATAAATATACATAAATATCAATAACATAAAATAAATATAAAATTACATAAATAAATAAAAGCCCAACCAGATGGAGGCCCTCGGCAGGGGAGACCAAACGGCCGAGGGTTAAAGGGGGAAGGGAAAGAAACCGGCGGACGATGCGGGCGGTATCGAGGAGCACCGCCTTCTGCATTTGAGCCCGGAGCGGTCCGCCACGTAGTCCCAGTCGCCTCAGATGACCCGAGAGGCTGACTGGGATTAGCCCGTTTGCAGAGACGACTACAGGAATAATTTCGGTCGGCAGACCACCCCACATGTCAGTCACCTCGTGAGCCAGGTCCAGATATTTTGTTTGCTTGTCTGTTTCGGCTTTCACGAGGTTCTCGTCATACGGAATGGTAATGTCGACCAAAAATATCCTTGACTATGCCCGGTCCATCAGCACAATATCAGGCCTTATTCGCAAGAATAGTCCTGTCTGTAATGATGGCCCGGTACCAATAAAGCCTGGCGCGATCATTTTCGAGCACGGCTTCCGGCAAGTACTTGTAATACGGCAATTTTCGGTCCACGAGACCGTATTTCAGAGCGAACTCCTGGTGAAGAATTCTGGCTACTAGGTTGTGCCTGTGCAAGTACTCAGAGTTAGAAAACGCCGAACAACCGGAGATGACATGCCTAAGTGACTCACCGGGATGGCGACAAGCTCGACAGATGTCCACGGTGCCATCCTATAGGATGTATCTCCGATAGTTGTTGGTCTTAATAACCTGATCCTGTATTGCACAGACAAAACCCTCGGTTTCCCCGAAGAGATCACCAAAGCGTAGCCAGTGGAGGGAGGCTACTGTGTCTACGAAAGGCTCATGTAGAGCCTTATAGAACCTCCCGTGGAGCTCCTTCTCCTTCCATACGTTCTCCCGGTCGGAAATTGTCTGCACTGCCGGGTCTTGCCATTGCTCGTTGGCTAAGGATAGAGGGGTAAGTCCTTTATCACTAGAAATGACGTCCTTATAGAATGGATCATCCGATCTCGCCAGGAAGTAATTACGGAGGCTGCACACTTCGCGATTATGCATGGTGAGCGCGCTCAAGAAGCCACGCCCACCATGCTTTCGCGGCAAGTACGGCCTCATTACCGACGATCTCGGATGATGCATCCTGTGGGACGTCATGGTAGTGCGGACCTTTCTATCCAGGGCGTTAAGTTCAGTCTGAGTCCACCTGAGTATGCCAAAGGTATACATGAGGACAGGCATGACCCAGCCGTTATATGCGTGTGTCTTATTCACACCGGACAAAAGGCTGTTAAGCACTTTGGTCAAGCGTGCATAAAACACGTCGCAAACTGACTGTTTCATACCAGCCTCATCGATACCGATGTTCTGTGACATACCCAGGTATCGGTATGTTTCAGCCTCGGAAAGGGTCCTTAAGTTGACGGGCATAGATAAGTCTATGCCCTCAGAGTTAGCAACCCTCCCCCTTTCAACATGGAGGACCGCACACTTATCCGTTCCCAGCTCCATTCCAATAGAATTGCTACATTCACAAGTGATGTTTAGCAATTCCATAAGATGGGAGCGACTGGAGGCGAATAACTTGAGGTCATCCATATAGAAAAGGTGGGTCACTTTTGTACCTCCTTTCCGAAGCTGAAATCCCCACCCGGAGCCCTGCAGTAAAGTACTGAGAGGGTTCAGGGAGAGGCAAAACCAGATTGGACTAAGACAATCGCCCTGGAAGATACCCCTTCTTATCCTTATGTGGTTCTCCGCAGCCATCATCCGCTCGCCCAGATAGCAAAGGATCGTACTCCATTGCCCCATACACTGCTCGAGGGAAGTCTCCAACTGTACAGTCAATTTTGTACAGCTGGAGGACCGTCTTTAACCATGTATGGGGCACCGAGTCGAATGCCTTTCTGTAGTCTATCCAGGCGGCGGAGAAATTCCGACGGTTGCGTTTCACCACTTTGCCAATGACCGCGTCAATGAGGAGTGGTTCCTTGGTTCCACGACCACCGCCCCGGCATCCATTTTGAGCGCGTGACATCACCTGATTTAGCTCCAGGTGAAGAGCGATTCTTGCGCTCTAAATGGATGTCAGTGTATTATATATGATGGATAGACGCGTGATAGAGCAGTATTTGCTCGGGTCTGTGGTATCCTGATCTTTAGGAACCAAATGAGTGATCCCAGTATTGAAGAGGCTCGAAGGCGACTTCTGATCGAGAGCCTCTTGAAACTGTCGGGCGAGCACAGCGTGACACACTACGAACCCCTTCAGCCAGTAATGATGCAGCCCGTCGAGCTCCGAACTTTTCCAGTTCGGGGCAATACGTACCGCCTCAGCCAGGTCTTCAGGCGTTATGGTGACGGGGTCCATAGGCGTAACACTTGCACTCTGGCTCGCCACAACTTCCATCCAAGGGCCCTCGCTGTGGTTTACGGGCTCTGACCACAGGCCACGCCAAAATGCGACAGTGTCAGCCTGATCCGGTCCTGGGCCCGCTCCACATACCTCTGGTCGCTCCAATGATTTATAGAGCCTCTTCTGATCACTCTGGTAGAGACGATTCTGGTTGAACCGCCTTGAACTCTCGCTAAATCGTCGAATCCGCTTCCCCCAAGCTGCGATTTTTTGCTTCAGGTCATCTATGCGCTCCGTTAGTTTTTGCGTGATATCCGGCTGGAACAAACTGATATTTGTCCCAGCAAACGCCATTCTAACGGTGCGCATAACTCTCGGTCTATTATTACCCGACCTGAAGCTTGTCAGTCTGCCGATAAGGGCCCTTGCCTTTGCGATACGGTCCTCAATTCTTTTTCTCCAGGCTGGGATGGCGCTACTTTTTTGAGTAGCACGTCCAGCCACGGGAAGTTTGGCGCCAATAATACGGCATACTGCCAGTGCGGCGCCAAAAAGAATTGAATCCGTCTCGCAAAGGTCCCGGCTGGCTTCCAAATAGGTCACCAGCATTGGGTTAAGAGCCCGCACGACAGCCCGATTTCGCTTGCTAAGGGGTATGCGGGGAAGTCGCGGTCGATTTTCGAGAGGCATGCTGCGCGTTTCCAGCATCGACTCTTCCAATATGCTCCTCATTTTCTCTAGTTCGTGGGAGACTATTCCATCATCGTCTGAATTAGCCACAAATGGAATGTTGATGGCAGCATCCACATATGCAGTTTGTTGCGCATCTAGTGGCGCCGCATTCCCAGCCGTAGCATTTCCATTCGATGAAGGAATAGCCTCACGTCGTAGTCGCTCGAGTTCGGCGTCACCAAATATGTTGGAGCGCAGGATGTACCGAACTCGGTCTGCCAGGTTTTGCTCAGTGACGGAAAGAGATGGCTCCAGCTCTGCAAAAAAGCGATGCATCCAAGCCCTATACGCGAAACATCCAGTTTCTTCCCATTTTGCCCTAAAGTACGCCCGCAGTGCGTTTTCATTCATTGATTTAGACCAACGCATGCGACGTGCTCCATCAGCGGCGGGTGCTGCTTGCTGAGTCCGAGAAGACCCAGCCGACACCAAGCCTTCTGGTGGGGATGATGGATGCGGGGGGCTGCTAGGTGGTCTTGCAACACCCCGCGCTCGGCTGGCGGCCCGCATGCTGTCGCGTCCAGCGTTATTTATTATTATTATTATATTTATTATTTGGAGTATTTATATAGTTCTCTCATCTGGTTGGGTTCTATAAATATATAATTATAAATGAAAATGAAAAGATAAATATACATAAATATCAATAACATAAAATAAATATAAAAATACATAAATAAATAAAAGCCCAACCAGATGGAGGCCCTCGGCAGGGGAGACCAAACGGCCGAGGGTTAGGGGGGAAAGGGAAAGAAACCGGCGGACGATGCGGGCGGTATCGTGGAGCACCGCCTTCTGCATTTGAACCTGGAGCGGTCCGCCACGTAGTCCCAGCGACTGGAGGCGAATAACTTGAGATCATCCATATAGAAAAGGTGGGTCACTTTTGTCCCTCCTTTCCGTAGCTGAAATCCTCTCCCGGATCCCTCCAGTAAGGTACTGAGAGGGTTCAGAGAGAGGCAGAACCAGATTGGACTCAGACAATCGCCCTGGAAGATACCCCTTCTTATCCTTATGTGGTTCTCCGCAGCCATCATCCGCTCGCCCAGATGACAAAGGATCGTACTCCACTGCCCCATACACTGCTCGAGGAAGTCTCTAACTGTACAGTCTATCTTGTACAGCTCGAGGACTCTCTTTAGCCATGTATGGGGCACCGAGTCGAATGCCTTTCTGTAGTCTATCCAGGCGGCGGAGAAGTTCCGACGGTTGCGTTTCACCACTTTGCCACTGACCGCGGCAATGAGGAGTGGTTCCTGGGTTCCACGACCACCGCCCCGACATCCATTTTGAGCGCGCGACATCACCTGATTTGAGTCCAGGTGACAAGTGATTCTCGCGCTCAAAATGGATGTTAGTGTCTTGTATATGGTCGGTAGACACGTGATGGGGCGGCGGTGACACACCATGAACCCCTTCAGCCGGTAGTGATGCAGCCCGTCAAGCCCCGGACTTTTCCAGTTCGGGGCCCTACGGACCGCCTCAGCTACGTCATCCGGCGTTATGATGACGGGGTCCATGGGCGTAATACCCGCACACTGACTCGCTACAACTTCCGTCCAAGGGCCCTCGCTGTGGTTTACGGGCTCTGACCACAGGCCGCGCCAGAATGCTTCAGTGTCGGCCTGATTCGGTGCTGGACCCGTTCCACTTATCATTGGTCGCTCCAATGATTCATAGAGCCTCTTCTGATCACTCTGGTAGAGACGATTCTGGTTGAACCGTGTCGACCTCTCGGTATATCGCCGAATCCGCTTTCCCCAAGCAGCGATTCTCTGCTTCAGATCATCTATGCGCTCCGTCAGTTTTTGCGTTATATCCGGCTGGGACAAACTGATATTTGTCCCAGCAAACGCCATCCTGACGGTGCGCACAATTCTTGGCCTGTTGTTGCCTGATCTGAAGCATATCAGTCTGCCGATGAGAGCTCTAGCCTTTGCGATACGTTCCTCAATTCTTCTTCTCCATGCTGGGATAGCGCTACTATGGCCAGTAGCGCGTCCAGCCGTGGAAACCTTGGCGCCTATGATACGGCAGGTTGCCAGCGTGGCGCTAAAAAAGAATTGATGCCGTCTCGCAAAGGTCCCGGCTGGCTTCCAAATAGGTCACCAGCATTGGGTTCAGAGCCCTCACGACAGCCCGATTCCGCTTGCTTAGGGCTATGCGGGGAAGTCGCGGTCGATTTTCGAGAGGCGTACTGCGCGTTTCCACAATCGCCTCTTCCAATGTACTCCTCATATGCTCTAATTCCAGTTCCTGGGCGACTGTTCCATCATCGTTTGAATCAACCACAACTGGGGTATTCACGGCAGCATCCACCATTTGTGGCACCGCATCCTCAGCCGTAGCATTCTCATCCGACGAGGGAACAGCCTCACGTCGTAGCCGTTCGAGTTCGGCGACATCAAATATATTTGAGCGCAAGATATACCGAACTCGGTCTGCCGGGTTTTGCTCTGTGACGGTTAAAGATGGCTCCAGCTCAGCAAAAAGACGATGCATCCTAGCCCGATACGCCAAACATCCAGTTTCTTCCCCTTTTGCCCTAAAGTACGCCCGAAATGCGTTTGAATTCATTGCTTATGACCAACGCATGCGACGTGCTCCACCAGCGGCGGGTGCCGCTTGCTGAGTCCGAGAAGACCCAGCCGACACCAAGCCTTCTGGTGGGGATGATGGATGCGGAGGGCTGCTAGGTGACCGTGCAGCTCCTCGCGCTCGGCTGGCGGCCCGCATGCTGTCGCGTCCAGCGCCAGCTCCAGACGCGCCTCGGCGACCCCCCAGGCAGCGGCCCTTTGCGCACTATCTTCTTATCCATCATCCATTATTTGGGCGTCCATTAACGGGAGACGCCCAGGCCCGGCACCATTTCGTGTGTAGCCATAAGCACAAACGGGCCTCTGCACCCTAAATTCTGCCGAGGCACGGCGCTCACACCTCTCGCAAGGCGCTGACCGACTGCGTTGACGTAGCAGTTTTGTCACTTAACTGTTACGTCAGCGGGCGATGGGGTCGTCAATTCCCTACGCCTCATATTTATTATTGTTATTTTTGGGGTATCTGTATAGTTTTCTCATCTGGTTGGTTTCTATAAATATATAATTATAAATTAAAATGAAAAGATAAATATACATAAATATCAATAAAATAAAATAAATACAAAAAAATACACAAATAAATAAAGATCCAACCAGATGGAAGCCCTCGGCAGGGGAGACCAAACTGCCGAGGGTTAGGAGGAAAGGGAAAGAAACCGACGGATGGGCGGGCGGTATCGAGGACCACTGCCTTCTGCATTTGAGCCCGGAGCGGTCCGTCACGGAGTCCCAGTCGCCTCAGATGACCCGAGAGGCTGACTGGGATTAGCCCGTTTGCAGAGACGACTACAGGAATAATTTCGGTCGGCAGACCACCCCACATGTCGGTCACCTCGTGAGCCAGGTCCAGATATTTTGTTTGCTTATCTGTTTCGGCTTTCACGAGGTTCTCGTCATACGGAATGGTAATGTCGACCAAAAATATCCTGACTGTGCCCGGTCCATCAGCACAATATCAGGCTTATTTGCAAGAATAGTCCTGTCTGTGATGATGGCCCGGTCCCAGTAGAGCCTGGCGCGGTCATTTTCGAGCACGGCTTCCGGCAAGTACTTGTAATACGGCAATTTCCGGTCCACGAGACCGTATTTCAGAGCGAGCGCCTGGTGAAGAATTCTGGCTACTAGGTTGTGCCTGTGCAAGTACTCAGAGTTAGAAAGCGCCGAACAACCGGAGATGACATGTCTAAGTGACTCCCCGGGATGGCGACAAGCTCGACAGACGTCGACGGTGCCATCCTTTAGGATGTATCTCCGATAGTTGTTGGTCTTAATAACCTGATCCTGTATTGCACAGACAAAACCCTCGGTTTCCCCCGAAGAGGTTACCGAAACGTAGCCAGTTGAGGGAGGCGACTGTATCTACGAAGGGCTCATGTAGGACCCTGTAGTACCTCCCGTGAAGCTCCTTCTCCTTCCATACGGTCTCCCGGTCGGAAATGCTAAGCACTGCTGGGTCCTGCCATTGCTCGTTGGCCAAGGATAGAGGGGTAAGCCCTTTATCACTAGAAATGACGTCATTATAGAATGGATCATCCGATCTCGCCAGGAAGTAATGACGGAGGCTGCACACTTCACGATTATGCATAGTGAGCGCGCTTAGAAAGCCACGCCCACCATGCTTTCGCGGCAAGTACAGCCTCATTACAGACGATCTCTGATGATGCATCCTATGGGACGTCATGGTAGTGCGGACTTTTCTATCCAGGGCGTTAAGTTCAGTCTGAGTCCACCTGAGTATGCCAAAGGTATACATAAGGACAGGCATGACCCAACCATTATATGCGTGTGTCTTATTCACACCGGACAAAAGGCTATTAAGCACTTTGGTCAAGCGTGCATAAAACACGTCGCAAACTGACTGTTTCACACCAGCCTCATCGATACCGATGTTCTGTGACATACCCAGGTATCGGTATGTTTCAGCCTCGGAAAGGGTCCTTAAGTTGACGGGCATAGATAAATCTATGCCCTCAGAGTTAGCAACCCTTCCCCTCTCAACATGGAGGACCGCACACTTATCCGTCCCCAGCTCCATTCCAATGGAACTGCTAAACTCACAAGTGATTTTTAGCAATTCCACAAGATGGGAGCGACTGGAGGCGAATAACTTAAGGTCATCCATATAGAAAAGGTGGGTCACTTTTGTCCCTCCTTTCCGTAGCTGAAATCCTCTCCCGGATTCCTCCAGTAAGGTACTGAGAGGGTTCAGGGAGAGGCAGAACCAGATTGGACTCAGACAATCGCCCTGGAAGATACCCCTTCTTATCCTTATGTGGTTCTCCGCAGCCATCATCCGCTCACCCAGATGACAAAGGATCGTACTCCACTGCCCCATACACTGCTCGAGGAAGTCTCTCACTGTACAGTCTATCTTGTACAGCTCGAGGACTCTCTTTAGCCATGTATGGGGCACCGAGTCGAATGCCTTTCTGTAGTCTATCCAGGCGGCGGAGAAGTTCCGACGGTTGCGTTTCACCACTTTGCCAATGACCGCGTCAATGAGGAGTGGTTCCTTAGTTCCACGACCACCGCCCCCGACATCCATTTTGAGCGCGTGACATCACCTGATTTAGCTCCAGGTGACGAGTGATTCTCGCGCTCAAAATGGATGTCAGTGTCTTATATATGGTGGGTAGACACGTAATGGGGCGGTATTTGCTCGGGTCTGTGGTAACCTGGTCTTTAGGAACCAAATGAGTGATCCCAGTAGTGAAGAGGCTTGGGAGCGACTTCTGGTTGAGAGCCTCTTGAAACTGACGGGCGAGCACAGCGTGACACACCATGAACCCCTTCAGCCAGTAGTGATGCAGTCCGTCGAGTCCCGGACTTTTCCAGTTCGGGGCTCTACGGACCGCCTCAGCTACGTCATCCGGCGTTATGATGACGGGGTCCATGGGCGTAATACTCGCACACTGACTCGCCACAACTTCCGTCCAAGGGCCCTCGCTGTGGTTTACGGGCTCTGACCACAGGCCACGCCAAAATGCGACAGTGTTAGCCTGATCCGGTCCTGGGCCCGCTCCACATACCACTGGTCGCTCCAATGATTTGTAGAGCCTCTTCTGATCACTCTGGAAGAGACGATTCTGGTTGAACCGCCTTGACCTCTCGGTAAATCGGCGAATCCGCTTCCCCCAAGCGGCAATCTTTTGCTTCAGGTCGTCTATGCGCTCCGTTAGTTTCCGCGTGATATCCGGCTGGGACAAACTGATATTTGTCCCAGCAAACGCCATTCTAACGGTGCGCACAACCCTCGGTCTATTATTACCCGACCTGAAGCTTATCAGTCTGCCGATAAGGGCCCTTGCCTTTGCGATACGGTCCTCAATTCTTTTTCTCCAGGCTGGGATGGCGCTACTTTGTTTAGTAGCGCGTCCAGCCATGGGAAGTTTGGCGCCAATAATACGGCAAGCTGCCACTGCGGCGCCAAAAAGAACTGAGTCCGTCTCGCAAAGGTCCCGGCTGGCTTCCAAATAGGTTACCAGCATTGGGTTAAGAGCCCTCACGACAGCCCGATTTCGCTTGCTTAGGGGTATGCGGGGGAATTCGCGGTCGATTTTCGAGAGGCATGCTGCGCGTTTCTAAAATCGCCTCTTCCAATATACTCCTCATTTGCTCTAGTTCGTGGGAGACCATTTCATCATCGTCTGAATCACCCACAACTGGAAGATCCATGGCGGCTTCTACGCGTGGCAGCTGGTCTGTCGCCTGAGGAGCCTCATCCCCAGCCGTAGCCAATTCATTCGATGAGGGAATGGCCTCACGTCGTAGTCGTTCGAGCTCGGCATCATCGAATATTTTCGAGCGCATGATGTACCGAACTCGGTCTGCCAGGTTTTGTTCCGTGACGGGAATAGACGGCTCCAGCTCAGCAAAAAAGCAATGCATCCGAGCCCGATACGCTATCCCCGCAGTTTCTTCCCCCTTTCGCCCTATAGTACGCCGCATTGCGTTTGCGTTCATATCCCTTGTCCAACGCATGCGGCGCACTCCACCAGCGGCGGATGCCGCTTGCCGAGTCCGAGAGGACCCTGCCGACATCAAGCCGTCTGGTGGGGATGATGGATGCGGGGGGCTGTTAGGTGATCTTGCAGCTCCTCGCGCTCGGCTGGCGGCCCGCATGCTGTCGCGTCCAGCGCCAGCTCCAGACGCGCCCCGGCGACCCCCAGGCAGCGGCCCTATACGTTTTCCAATCTTATCCATCATCCATTTTTGGGCGCCAATTAGCGGGAGACGCCCAGGCCCGGCACCGTTTTATTGTATCATTGTACGGCCGTAAGCACAAACGGGCCTTTGCACCCTGAGTACTGCCGAGGCACGGCGCTCACACCTCTTGGCAAGGCGCTGACTGACTGCACCGACGTAGCAGTTTTGTCACTTAACTGTTTCGTCAGCGGGCGATGGGGTCGTCACTTCCCTACGCCTTTTTATTGTTATTATTATTATTATTATTATTTGGGGTATCTATATAGTTTTCTCATCTGGTTGGGTTATATAAATATATAATTATAAATTAAAATGAAACGATAAATATACATAAATATCAATAAAATAAAATAAATACAAAAATACAAAAATAAATAAAAGCCCAACCAGATGGAAGCCCTCGGCAGGGGAGACGGCCAAGGGTTAGGAGGAAAGGGAAAGAAACCGGCGGACGATGCGGGCGGTATCGAGAAGCATCGCCTTTTGCATTTGAGCCAGGAGCGGTCCGTCACGGAGTCCCAGTCGCCTCAGATGACCCGAGAGGCTGACTGGGATTAGCCCATTCGCAGAGACGACTACAGGAATAATTTCGGCCGGCAGACCACCCCACATATCGGTCACCTCGTGAGCCAGGTCCAGATATTTTGTTCGTTTATCTGTTTCGGCTTTCACGAGGTTCTCGTCATACGAAATGGTAATGTCGACCAAAAATATCCTTGACTGTGCCCGGTCCATAAGCACAATATCGGGCTTATTCGCAGGAATAGCCCAGTCCGTGATGATATATTATTATTATTATTTTTATTTTATTTTCATCTATATAGTTTTCTCATCTGGTTGGGATGTATAAATATATAATTATAAATGAAAATGAAAAGATAAATATACATAAATATCAATAAAATAAAATAAATACAAAAATACATAAATAAATAAAAGCCCAACCAGATGGAAGCCCTCGGCAGGGGAGACCAAACGGCCGAGGGTTAGGGAGAAAGGGAAAGAAACCGGTGGACGATGCGGGCAGTATCAAGGAGCACCGCCTTCTGCATTTGAGCCCGGAGCGGTCCGTCACGGAGTCCCAGTCGCATCAGATGGTCAGAGAGGCTAACTGGGATTAGCCCATTCGCAGAGACGACTACAGGAATAATTTCGGTCGGCATACCACCCCACATGTCGGTCACCTCGTGAGCCAGGTCCAGATACTTTGATTGCTTATCTGTTTCGGCTTTCACGAGGTTCTCGTCTTACGGGATGGTAAATATCGACCAAAAATATCCTTGACTATGCCCGGTTCATCAGCACAATATCAGGCTTATTCGCAAGAATAATCCTGTCTGTGATGATGGCCCGGTCCCAGTAGAGCCTGGCGCGGTCATTTTCGAGCACGAGTTTCGAGTAATACGGCGATTTCCGGTCCACGAGACCGTATTTCAGAGCGAGCCCCTGGTGTAGAATTCTGGCTACTAGGTTGTGCCTGTGCAAGTACTCAGAGTTAGAAAGCGCCGAACAACCGGAGATGATATGCCTAAGTGACTCACCGGGATGGCGACAAGCTCGACAGACGTCGACGGTGCCATCCTTTAGGATGTATCTCCGATAGTTGTTGGTCTTAATAACCTGATCCTGTATTGCACAGACAAAACCCTCGGTTTCCCCGAAGAGGTCACCGAAACGCAGCCAGTTGAGGGAGGTGACTGTATCTACGAAGGGCTCATGTAGAGCCCTGTAGTACCTCCCGTGGAGCTCTTTCTCCTTCCATACGGATTCCCGGTCGGAAATGCTAAGCACTGCTCGGTCCTGCCATTGCTCGTTGGCTAAGGATAGAGGGGTAAGCCCTTTATCACTAGAAATGACGTCATTATAGAATGGATCATCCGATCTCGCCAGGAAGTAATGACGGAGGCTGCACACTTCACGATTATGCATGGTGAGCGCGCTCAGAAAGCCACGCCCACCATGCTTTCGCGGCAAGTACAGCCTCATTACCGACGATCTCGGATGATGCATCCTACGGGACGTCATGGTAGTGCGGACTTTTCTATCCAGGGCGTTAAGTTCAGTCTGACTCCACCTGAGTATGCCAAAGGTATACATAAGGACAGGTATGACCCAACCGTTATATGCGTGTGTCTTATTCACACCGGACAAAAGGCTATTAAGCACTTTGGTCAAGCGTGCATAAAACACGTCGCAAACTGACTGTTTCATACCAGCCTCATCGATACCAATGTTCTATGACATACCCAGGTATCGGTATGTTTCAGCCTCGGAAAGGGTCCTTAAGTTGACGGGCATAGATAAATCTATGCCCTCAGAGTTAGCAAACCTTCCCCTTTCAACATGGAGGACCGCACACTTATCCGTCCCCAGCTCCATTCCAATGGAATTGCTAAATTCACAAGTGATTTTTAGCAATTCCATAAGATGGGAGCGACTGGAGGCGAATAACTTGAGGTCATCCATATAGAAAAGGTGGGTCACTTTTGTCCCTCCTTTCCGTAGCTGAAATCCTCTCCCGGATCCCTCCAGTAAGGTACTGAGAGGGTTCAGGGAGAGGCAGAACCAGATTGGTCTCAGAAAATCGCCCTGGAAGATACCCCTTCTTATCCTTATGTGGTTCTCCGCAGCCATCATCCGCTCACCCCGAATGACAAAGGATCGTACTCCACTGCCCTATACACTGCTCGAGGAAGTTTCTCACTGTACAGTCTATCTTGTACAGCTCGAGGACTCTCTTTAGCCATGTATGGGACACCGAGTCGAATGCCTTTCTGTAGTCTATCCAGGCGGCGGAGAAGTTCCGACGGTTGCGTTTCACCACTTTGCCAATGACCGCGTCAATGAGGAGTAGTTCCTTAGTTCCACGACCACCGCCCCGACATCCATTTTGAGCGCGTGACATCACCTGATTTAGCTCCAGGTGACGAGTGATTCTCGCGCTCAAAATGGATGTCATTGTCTTATATATGGTGGGTAGACATATAATGGGGCGGTATTTGCTCGGGTCTGTGGTAACCTGGTCTTTAGGAACCAAATGAGTGATCCCAGTAGTGAAGAGGCTTGGGAGCGACTTCTGGTTGAGAGCCTCTTGAAACTGACGGGCGAGCACAGCGTGACACACCATGAACCCCTTCAGCCAGTAGTGATGCAGTCCGTCGAGTCCCGGACTTTTCCAGTTCGGGGCTCTACGGACCACCTCAGCTACGTCATCCGGCTTTATGATGACGGGGTCCATGGGCGTAATACTCGCACACTGACTCGCCACAATTTCCGTCCAAGGGCCTTCGCTGTGGTTTACGGGCTCTGACCACAAGCCACGCCAAAATGCGACAGTGTTAGCCTGATCCGGTCCTGGGCCCGCTCCACATACCTCTTGGTCGCTCCAATGATTTATAGAGCCTCTTCTGATCCCTCTGGAAGAGACGATTCTGGTTGAACCACCTTGACCTCTCGGTAAATCGGCGAATCTGCTTCCCCCAAGCAGCAATCTTTTGCTTCAGGTCGTCTATGCGCTCCGTTAGTTTCTGTGTGATATCCGGCTGGGACAAACTGATATTTGTCCCAGCAAACGCCATTCTAACGGTGCGCACAACCCTCGTTCTATTATTACCCGACCTGAAGCTCATCAGTCTGCCGATAAGGGCCCTTGCCTTTGCGATACGGTCCTCAATTCTTTTTCTCCAGGCTGGGATGGCGCTACTTTGTTTAGTAGCGCGTCCAGCCATGGGGAAGTTTGGCGCCAATAATACGGCAAGCTGCCACGGCGGCGCCAAAAAGAACTGAGTCCGTCTCGCAAAGGTCCCGGCTGGCTTCCAAATAGGTTACCAGCATGGGGTTAAGAGCCCTCACGACAGCCCGATTTCGCTTGCTTAGGGGTATGCGTGGAAGTCGCGGTCGATTTTCGAGAGGCATGGTGCGCGTTTCCAAAATCGCCTCTTCCAGTATACTCCTCATTTGCTCTAGTTCGTGGGAGACCATTTCATCATCGTCTGAATCAACCACAACTGGAAGATCCATGGCGGCTTCTACGCGTGGCAGCTGGTCTGTCGCCTGAGGAGCCGCATCCCCAGCCGTAGCCAATACATTCGATGAGGGAATGACCTCACGTCGTAGTCGTTCGAGCTCGGCATCATCAAATATTTTCGAGCGCATGATGTACCGAACTCGTCTGCCAGGTTTTGTTCCGTGACGGGAATAGACGGCTCCAGCTCAGCAAAAAAGCAATGCATCCGAGCCCGATACGCTATCCCCTTAGTTTCTTCCCCTTTCGCCCTATAGTACGCCCGCAATGCGTTTGCGTTCATAACTCTTGTCCAACGCATGCGGCGCACTCCACCAGCGGCGGATGCCGCTTGCCAAGTCCGAGAGGACCAGGCAGACATCATGCTATCTGGTGGGGATGATGGATGCGGGGGGCTGCTAGGTGATCTTGCAGCTCCTCGCGCTCGGCTGGCGGCCCGCATGCTACCGCGTCCAGCGCCAGCTCCAGACGCGCCCCGGCGACCCCCAGGCAGCGGCCCTATACGCTTTCTAATCATATCCATCATCCATTTTTGGGCGCCAATTAACGGGAAACGCCCAGGCCCGGCACCGTTTCATTGTATCATTGTACGGCCGTAAGCACAAACGGGCCTTTGCACCCTGAGTACTGCCGAGGCACGGCGCTCACACCTCTTGGCAAGGCGCTGACTGACTGCACCGACGTAGCAGTTTTGTCACTTAACTGTTTCGTCAGCGGGCGATGGGGTCGTCACTTCCCTACGCCTTATTATTATTATTATTATAGCCAACATCCTCCCAATAAGGCAATCTATGGGGGTGGCCTATGTTTATGATTGAAATGGGCTGTAACGTTAAACATTTAGTAACTGTCCATTTGAATGACTTCGGAAGTTCAGGAGATGTGGAGCTGCATCTTATGTTGCTGCCCAACTCCCCACGTATTATACGCGATACTTCTGGATACAGACCCCATTTAACGTCTAAAAGGTTAAGGTGCATTTAATAATAATAAACTGAACAACTATGTTGTGGTTTTCTGTCAATTTTTTTTTAATTTTCATTAAAGAAATTATTTTTTTTAAGTTTTCTAATAATAGGTCTTACTGCGGGCATTTCTAATTTTAGTAGTTCATAGTTTTAAGCAGTAACTCCGCCGCTGCTTAAGTACATCTAGGCAGAATTCACATGTTCTTGTAATATTATATTACTCGGACTTGCAAGATTGTTTTCCTTCACCACCGAGCACGTCCGCACATTATTATTGATACTACAATAATATTTACACTACCGTGAAAACAAAACATATGAGTAGCTCAAAATTTTAGTAAAATAACTTGTGTTCACCAATTTTTAAAACTCCACTGCTTGACATGAGCTTCTCCTGTTGTTGGAAAGATTTATCTTAATCGTCAATGTTGTGCAATAGATTTGGAATAGAGCACTAGACATCTCGATGCGCATGTTTTAAGTCGCTCCCCAACGCCGATCTGGGTATTTTACCTTGCGTAAACGAAATGACTATACCATCATTTGAAAGCCATAAGGTCTTTCCGGCATTTATGACACCTGTCTCTTTCGACTTTCATAAGACACAGTCGTACGATATGTTCCCTTACGCAACTACCAAGACGAAAATAGCAGAAAGTAAATAATAAACTTTTTTTATTAGACAAGCAAGCACAGAATCTATATGATAGTGAATTAGTAAGAGGATGCTCAGAATCATTGACACAAATCTTTTTTTACATCTGAATAATATCTGTATTTGACTAAGAAAAGTGCGTTTTCATACCCGAGAACTAAGAGGTAATGCCTCATTTCCAGTAAAAAGAGTCTTCATATTTGACACTCACCATTCGAAACACAGCAGCATCATGCTGCTATTTTACGTTGCTATTATGTGCGAGCGTGACCCTTCCCAGGTCGAATAGACCCTTTTGTGTTTCATTATTAACACTCTGCAGTTGGGTTGTACCAAAATATAACAGCGCAATATGTAATACAAGAAAGTAAGAAATAATGACAAATAAACTTACTTCTTCAACGGCGAGTCATCACAAGTAAACCGTACACCTATCAACCGAAAAGCAAATTTAGGAATTTCGTAAGTGGCATCATAATCACTTACATCGAATGATCGGGAATTCTATGAAAAAAAAATTACAACGCATTATTATTATTACTACTCATTCTTATTTTCCACATTGTCAGCAGACCGTAAATTATCCACTAATGGACCTAGACCTTTACAATATTTATAAGGATTTGTATTGTTAATAGTAATTGCCGTTTTTGGCAGGCGGCCTTTGATTTTTTTTATAGAAGAGGGGGCAAACGAGCATGCGGCTCACCTGATGTTAAGTGACTACCGCCGCCCATGATCAACCGCAACACCAGGGGAATTGCAGGTGCGTTGCCGCCCCTTTAGAAAGGAGTAAACTCTTTTCTTGAAGGTCACCAGGTCGTATCGGTCCGGAAAAATCGCCGGTGGTAAACTATTCCACAGAGAGGTTGTACGCGGAAGAAAACTCCTTTTGAAACGTACTGTGGTGGACCGCCAAGCATCCAGATGTTGTGGATGGTATTGGTACGTTTGCCGCGTAGTGCGTTCACGAAATTTGGCGGTTGGGATTAATCCGAACAATTCCTCAGAGCACTCTCCATGGTATATGCGAAATAAAATGCAAAGAGATGCAACATCTCTTCGCAGTGCCAGTGAATCGAGCCGATCGGAAAGCACTCGGTCGTCGACGATTCGAGCCGCTCTGCGCTGGATGCGGTCAAGTGGAAAGAGCTGGGGAGCCCAAGCCCAGAGATGGGAACAGTATTCCATGTGCGGCCGAACCTGCTCCTTGTAAAGTTGCAGGCGGTGTGCCGGCATGAAATACTGTCCCGCTCTGCAGAGCACGCCATGCTTTTTCGAGGCCAATTGGGCCTTCTCTTCCAAGTGACCACGAAACTGTACGTCACTCGATATGTCAACACCGAGGATTCCGATACTGGTTGAGGCAACAAGGGGAGTGCCTTGAAACTGAGGAGATACGACAAAAGGGTTCCTTTTAGCGGTTAACGCGCAAACTTTTGTCTTCTGGGGGTTAAATTGGACTAGATTTAGTCGCCCCCAATCCGAGACTCTGTTCAGCAAGGACTCGACTTCAGACACAAGTTTGTCCCGGCACTCGGAGACGTTTTCCCGAGAAATATTGGCTCGGCCGGTGTAAAGAGCATCACCAGTGCTGTCATCTGCATAGCAATGTATGTTACGGGTTTGCAACATATCATTGATATGCAGAAGAAACAGCGTTGGCGATAGCACGCAGCCTTGTGAAACACCAGCATTAATAGACTTGCAATCGGAGTTTGCACCGTCTACAACGACTTTGATGCTCCGATCTGCAAGAAAGTTGGTGATCCAATCGCACAATTTCTCGGGAAGCCCATAGGAAGAGAGCTTCGAAAGAAGCGCTTTGAGCCAAACCCGATCGAAGGCCAAACTAACGGCCAATGCCTCCCCCTTGGACTCTACTGCCTCCGCCCATCTGTGAGTTAGGTAGACCAGAAGATCACAAGCTGACCGACCACGGCGAAAACCGTATTGGCGGTCACTAATCAGCTGGTGATCCTCAAGGTACCTCATGAGCTGGCAGTTTACAATGGACTCCATTGTTTTTGAGAACAAGGAGGTCATGGCGACAGGCCGGTAGTTGGACGGGTCTGAGCGGTCGCCTTTTTTAGGGATTGGGTGGACGAAAGCCGCTTCCATGATTTTGGGACTACCCTAGGGAGTGGGAGTACCGGAAAAGACGCGTTAAAACCGGTGCCAACTCTGGAGCGCACGTCCTCAGCACATTTGGGTGGATTCCGTCGGGCCCACTCGAATAATGGATGTCCAGGGAGAGGAGTGCTTTGCGAACCGAGTGCTGTGTGAACTGCACTTCCGGTATGGAGCACTCACACCGCGGGATGTTCGGCGGCGTACTCCCCCGTCATCGAGAGTCGAGTTGAAAGCAAAGAAAGAGCCCAGAAGATCGGCTTTCTCCTTTGCGGTATGGGCCAGTGACTCGTCCTCCCTGTGCAGAGATGGAAGAGATAGCTGACACAAATTCCCCTGAACAGCCTTGGCGAGAGACCAGAATGCACGAGTTCCAGAAGGAAGGCGAACTAGTTTCTCGCCAATTCTGCCAATGTGCTCCGACTTTGCCTTAGCAATGACTCTTTTGAAGGACCTAGAGGCGGAATTATACTTCTTTTTTATAGCGCTGGTGTTTACATCCCGGGACGCTGATGCGTCAGCCCAGGCTCGGTAGCACTCCTGCTTATAGCATGATGCTATTTTACAGGAGCGACCAAACCATGGCTGAGATTTGCCTCCAATGGGCACCACAGAGTAAGGAGTAAAAGTTCCATACCCCGAAGTACCACATCAGCGACAAAATCCGCAACAACGTTGGGATCGTTCCGGCGAGAAGCAAACCCGCCCCCAAGGGTAGGATGCAAAGAAAGACCGCATACCATCCCAATCGGCTGACCTATAGTGCCAAACACGGCGACAGCCCGCAGAATGCGACTGCGATTTCAGCGTGAGTGGTACCTCACTCCGGACAAGACATTGGTGCGAGGAGCCTAAAGGGGCTTCGACGGAAATCTGATATCCGTCCGGGTGAGAGGTCAGCAGAAGGTCCAACAGGGAAGGTGCATGATCCTCCACATCTGGAATCCGCGTAGGCGAAGTAACCAGTTGTGTCAGACCATATGCCAAGGCAAAATCAGGAACAGATCTCCCCGCATGATCGGTTAAACGTGATCCAAGCCATTCGGCGTGATGGGCGTTAAAGTCGCCGAGGATCACGATCTCTGCGAAGGGGTTCTGCTGTAGCAACGAATCTGTAGCCATTTGGACGTGGTCGAAGAGTCGGTCTGTTTCGGCATTACCGCTATGGGACCTATAGAGGCACCCGTAGACGCGCGGATGGTCGTCGCTGTCTACGCGTAACCACAGGATGGAAAGGTCCGAG